TAAGAAAAAAAGACCATCAGTCAATAGATGCCAACTCCAAGATGACCTAAATATTAGATTTATCAGACAAAGATTTTAATGCAGCTATCATAATGGTGGTGGGGTGATAAAATTTTCCTAGATTCCTTGTTCCTCCTATAAAAAGCCCTCGCCTCCTGAGAATCTTCAAATACCATGAGAAATTGATCCATAGCTATTTGTTGAATTAATTGCTCTGATCTGACAGGATAATAAGACTTTTCTAATTTCCCTGGGAAGGCAAAATTATTAAAGTCTAGACTAGCTCATATGGTTAAACTCACAAAGTGCTAGGGAAACGGGCTCACTAGCTTCCTAAGTATTGACATGTCAAAAAAGATGAAGCCTCAGATCTTAGAAATATTTCTAGGTTTTAAGAGTAGAGATTCACAGGGCTGTCTGGCTCCTGGAGAGATTTTATTTACATATCAAAGAGTTGGAGTTTGGATGCAGGCCATTTGGGTTAGAAGGAGACCTTCTGAGGAGGGTTGGAGGGTGCTGCATCATCCCCCTTCAGAAGCAGAGAAAAATTATCTCTCTTTTCTCTCATCTAGGAAGTGTCTGGCGCTTATGTAGGACTAGGACTAAGACCTCAGGTAAGAGGGCAATGACACACTTATTGTCAAGAAATGGGTCTTTGACCCACAACACCGCACTTGCACTTTCAGGATAAAATTGACAAAGATGAATATTAAAAGCCCAGCAATAGCCATGGCCCCAGAAGTAAGGGCAAACATTCCTGGAATGAATGGAAACAGAATTTTTCAGTAAAGAAACTGAAGCTACAAGAAAAAAAAAAGAATGAAATGACTTAAAGGCAAAAAGAAAGTCAACAAACTGATAGGTATAACTATAGGCATGTGAATAATTAGTTTAAATGTAAATGGTCCAAAAACACCAGTTAAAAGATACAGATTTTCAGACTGGATAAAAACAAAAGTAACTGTATGCTACCTACAAGTCCACAGAAAGCAGAATGATCCAGATGATGGATCTGTATGAATCCATAATGATCCATAGTGATCCAAATGAAAGGATGGCAAAAGATAAAGGATTCAAACGCTATTCACAAAAGATGGAATGTCTACTGTGATTACTACAAATGACCAACTTCAGAACAAAGAAAATTACTATAGATGTTTTTAAAAAATCAATATATAAAAACATTGCAACCAAGTAAGATTTATCCAGTAATGCAAGGCTGAAGAGTTGAAAATTAGTTAATGTAATTCACACTTTAAAAGGCTTAAAAAGGAAAGCCAAATAATCATATCAATAGAAGCAGAAAAGACCCTTGGCAAAATTTTGCATTCATTCAAGATTTTTTAAAAAAATCTCATCAAATTACAGGGGTGCCTGGGTGGCCCAGTCAGTTAAGCATCCAACTTTGGCTCAGGTCATGATCTCATAGTTCGTGAGTCTGAGCCCTCCATCGGGCTCTGTGCTGACAGCTCAGAGCCTAGAGCCTGCTTCAGATTCTCTGTCTCCATCTCTCTCTCTCCCCCTCCCCTGCTCATACTCTGTCTCTGTCTCTCTCTCTCAAAAATAAACATTAAAATTTTTTTAACTCATTAAATTAGGAATAGAATGAACATCTTCATTATACAAAGTTTATCTCCAGAAACACCAACAGGAAACATCATTTTTTTGGTGTTTATTTTATTTATTTTGAAAGAGGGAAAGAGAGAGAGAGATACATGAATGGGAAAGGAGCACAGAGAGAGAGAGAGAGAGAGCAAGAATCCCAAGCAGGCTCCATGCTGTCAGTGCAGAGCCTGACGCAGGGATCAAACTCACAAACCATGATCATGACCTGAGCCGAAATCAAGAGTAGGATGCTTAACAGACTGAGCCACACAGGCGTTCCAAGAAACATCATTCTTATTGTTAAGGTATTGAATGTTTTTACCCTAAGACAAAAACAAGGCAAATGTGTCTGCTCTCACTACTCTTAGTCAATATCATGCTGGAAGTTTTAGCCAGCTCAAGAAGGCAAGAAAAAAGAACTAAAAGGCATTCAGACTGAAAAGAAAGTAATAAAACTATCCTTACTCACAGACAACATGATGGATTCTCTATATAAGAAATGTCAAGAAATCTATAAAAAATACTTACCAGTTCAAAGAAGTCAATAGTATTTCTATCCACTAGCAGTGAAAATTTGGAAACCAAAATTTTAAAACAGATTCTATTTGCAATACCTTAAACATTAAATACTTAGTATTAAATAAACAACTCTAGAAAAATATGTTCAGTATCTGTATACTAAAAAGTATAAAATATTGATGAAACATATCAAAAGAGACCTAAAGAAATGGTGACATGTATAAAATTCATGGGTTGGAAGATTCAGTATAGGTCAGATATCAATTTTTCCCAAAAGAAACTAGAGATTAAGTCCCATTCAAAAGCTTGTTCTAAAATGTATGTGGGAAAGGAGAGGAACTGGAACATCCAAAACAATTTTGAAAAAGAAGAGCAAATGGTGGACACCATTCAACTTTAAGACAGTTCATAAAGCTAAGTGTCAAGACAGAATATTATTAGTAAAGAGATAAACACAAAGAATAATGAAACAGAAGAGATACTCTAAAAATAGATCCACTCCAATACCGTCAGCTGATTTGGACAAAGGTGTAAAGGAAATTTAAATGACAAAGGAAGACTTTGCAATAACTGATACTTGGAACTACTGACATCCATATTAAAAAATTAATAATCCTCAACTGCAACTTGCATCATACATACACACACATGAAAATTCAAAATGTAAATGTAAACTGATAGAAAACGTAAAATACTAAACCAAGTGTAAAACATGAAATTCTAAAATTCTTAGGTCAAAACAAAAGAGAAATATTTATAACCTTGGGTGAAGACAGAATTCTAATATACAACACAAAAGTCATGATCTAGCAAAGAAGACAGTTAGTGAATTTGAGTTCATCAATATGAAAACTACTTCTGCTCTGTTAAGAACACTGGCAAGAAAATAAAAAGATTGTAAAACAGTATTTGCAAATCACATATCAGATGAAGGATGCTCAAAACTGAAAACTAAGAAAACAATGTAATTTTTTTTTTTAAATGTTTTATTTATTTCCAGGAGAGAGAGAGAGAGAGACAGCGTGAGCAGGGGAGGGTCAGAGAGAGAGGGAGTGACAGATTCTGAAGGAGGCTTCAGGCTCTGAGCTGGCAGTCAGCACAGAGCCCGACGCGGGGCTCGAACCCACGAACCGCGAGATCGTGACCTAAGCGAAAGTCGGACGCTTAACCGACTAAGCCACCCAGGCGCCCCGATANGTCAGAGAGAGAGGGAGTGACAGATTCTGAAGGAGGCTTCAGGCTCTGAGCTGGCAGTCAGCACAGAGCCCGACGCGGGGCTCGAACCCACGAACCGCGAGATCATGACCTAAGCGAAAGTCGGACGCTTAACCGACTAAGCCACCCAGGCGCCCCGAAAACAATGTAATTTTTAAAAAATGGACAGAAGTCAACAGTATTTTACCAACAGGTATGTGGATGAGAAACAAACATGTCAAAAGATGCCCAATGTCAGTAAGTCATTCCAGAAAAGCAAACTAAAGGCACAATAAGATACCATTTCACATCTATTAGAATGGTTTTAAAAAAACTAATGATAACTCCAAGTGTTGATGAAGATGGGAGAAATAGAAATCCCCAAACACTGCTGGTGTGAACATAAAATTGTGCAGACACTCTAGAAAACAGTTTGACAGTTTCTTATAAAATTAAAGAAACATACACTTACCATATAACCCAACAAACTCACTACAGGTATTTACCCTAGAAAAATGAAAATTAATTTTTCCCCAAAACCTGTATATGAATGTATATAACAGAACGATTCAAAAATTTTCCAAACTAGAAATAATCCAAATATCTTTCAATGAGCGCATGGATGCAGAAACTGGTTAGTACATGCACACACGGAATACCACACAGCAATATAGAAGGACAGATTAGTGATATACACAAAACGTAGATGGATCTCAAATGTATTTCCACAAATAACCCAGTCTCAAAATGTTACATACTGTGTTATTCCATTCATATGGCATTCTAGAGAAGCAAAAACAGAAACGAAAAATCAGTAATTACCAGGGGTTAGGAACGGGAAGGGTCAGAATACAAAGACAATTTATGACAGACTTCTTTGGCAGTGTTGACATTTTTCTCTCTCCTGTCTGTGGTGATGGTCTCATGAATCAACACAAAGATAAAAACTCATAGTATTGTACAACAATAAAGTGGATTTTACTCTACGTAAATGTAAAAATAAAAAAACATTAAAAAAACTCTTCTGGGAACTTTGTGACAATGTGTTTACATTGGAAGAAAATTCTCAGGATTTAAGAGTAGAATAAAATGTCTAAAAAATCTCATATCCCTTAAAGCCTATATGCAACCTGGTTATCAAGCAAGAGAAAAATCAAGATATAGAGGCTATCAAGAAGCAAAAATATATAGGTGGTCCTTCTAGCTGGGCGCCTGGGTGGCTAAGTCGATTAAACAACCAACTTCAGCTCAGGTCATGATCTCATGGTTCATGAGTTGGAGTTCCATGTTGGGCTCTGTGCTGACAGCTCAGAGTCTGGAGCCTGCTTCAGATTCTGTATCTCCCTTTCTGTCCCTCCCCTGTTCATGCTCTGTCTCTCTCTCTCAAAAATAAATAACTGTTAAAAAACTTAAAAAAAAAAAAACATAGGCTCTCCTATAAATAACACGTATATATTCTTAAAATTCCTCACTACTACCTAGGCAGAGATCAGGGAGTGTGGAGAACATGAAGATTTACACAAGAGGAAATGAGGTAAGAGAAATATTAGAGTAATCTAGCCTCTGCTTCCAATGAAGGGCATAGTAATTTTCCAGGTACAGTGACTTGACCTCAATATTAACTTCAGTTCAGCTCTGTCTCTAAATACTACCTGGAATAGTAAACCAATATTTATCAATACCTCTTCAATAGCACCAGCAGAAATTCTGTGGCCTGCAACATTTATCACGTCATCAACTCGAGACATAACATATAAATAGCCTTCTTCATCCATGTAACCAGCATCCATGGTGTCATAGTATCCCTGTAAATAAGAATCAATAATGTCTATTAGCATGTGTTGCTAGGTAAGGCAATCATTTAAGCTTGGTATAATATAACATGTGATAGAAATGGATTTACTCAGTGCATTTGACTTTTTCCAATCATAGACTATGGAATAAAATTCCTTTTGAATTTTAAAGTCTATGAACTCAATTTTTTTTAATGAAGAAGTAATAGCTCAATATATCCAATGTACCTTGGTATTGGAAAATAATTCTTTGATAGATTTCTTCATTAATTATAGTAATTTTTAAAAGCTTTAAAGCTCTCTATGAATAATTAGAAAATATAGCACTTAGTTTGTTAACATGAATTTGGATTGGACTCGAGCTTCCGTGAAATATAATAAGGATGAAGAATAATTTTTTTTGAAGTATAATTTTTAATCAACTCAAAGTAGCAACACATCTTCACTGACCCAGAAAATCACAATAGAATGACGAATAAAGAAGAAGAAGAAGAAAGAAATATTACTTCTAATGCTTTTCAGTTTTCTTGATTCTTACATTAATGAGCACAGGCTTTCGGAACAACCCAGATGAGTCACTATTTGGTTTCTTGGTCTTTCTGAGACTCAGTATACTCATCTGTTAAACAGGATAGGGAACTATACCCTATATGCCTTCTGTAAAGCATAAATGAGATGGTTTATATCAGTAAGGCAACTCTGGCACATCAGAAGCCCTCTGTAGTGGTCAGCTCTTACTACGATTTCTACTGGAAAGAAAACCTAGAGTACGGTTAAAGAGAATGGACTCTGGAATCAGATTTTATGTTCAGTTTTCAGCTCCATGATTTCTAAACTACAGGTAAGGTACTCAACCCTGTTGTAGTGTGGCCAAGCCCTTAGATGAGTAGTGTGAGGTCAGGATAACAAGGCAAGAGTGTGGAGTCACTCCATACAGTTTAACCATAAACTAAGATTTTGAAGGAGCTTTCAGTGTTAAAGGTGATCATGTTAAAACCACATGCACATCTTATTTGCCATTGTCGGTGGAATTATTCATATCAGAACTCCGATGACTTCACAGTGGCCCATCAGGCAGATAGATTGGGCTGACTGGAGTCAACCCTACTGACAAATCTTCGCTGCCACAGTCCTTTGGGGCATGTTTAATCTTAGCTACTGAGGTCATTTGACTCCAGATCTCCTTCTAAAGGAAGCTATTTTAATCTTGTCATTTGTCTGGTTGATTAGGTTATCTGTCCTTCACTCACAAATAATAAAGATAAAATGCTAAATACTGAGACTTGCTTTTTTTTATATATGAAATTATGACCAAACATTTTTTTTCACCTAATGCATAATGAGGACCAAGGATGTCTCAGGGAAAGAAAGAGAGGTGAAAGGACAGCAGCAATATGATGGTGGGACCTGACGTGGATTGTCAGTAAAGTGCTGTTATAAACCCAAAACACATCACGATGATATGGACAAACAGGTAGAAATGACAAAATAGAAAGTAGGAGAACACTTTTCGTTATCCAGGGCACTGGAGCTTGTGCTGGGAAAACACCGTCTCTAGCATATTTTAAAAATGGGAGTTTCGAATAAAAAGCTAGGAGAGCATTCAGGAACAAAATGTCAAAAATAGGTAAAGGGATGGAAAAATACAACTTGGGGGCCACCCGAATGAACTTTGCTCACATAACCAGCTGTGAAGGGGTGAAGGGGTCCTAGTGATAGTGTACAATTCTCATCAGGTGCTTTCACTCTGCAGAGGAACTCAATGTAGGAAAGAATACAGATGGCCCCCGACTTTTTAACTTAATAGAAACTTTCGTGATATTGAGGGCTGCTAAATGTCAGGAAAATGTGCTAAGAGAAACTGAGAAATTTCCACAGACTGAGAAAAATAAATCCACAGATTTGATTCCAGAGAAATGTCCACAGACTGAGAAAATAAATCTAAAAATGACGCATTTAGATAATTATGCTTTGGACATTCTTATTTCTGAGATCTAGAACTTGGTCCAGATAAACTTTAACAGTTGTAGTATTATCTATGATTCTAGGACAGAGTTGCTTAAATTTAAATGGCAAGAACTACAAAGAAGTATTCTGGGAGATTTTTTTTAAAGTATAATAAAGTTCTTACAGGAAATTTTTCAAAGTATAAATGCTTGAATGCTTCCTGATTCTTCCAGAGTCCTGAAAAAGCACCAGGTGGTAATGGCAACCTTATACAAAAACAAAGCAGTCAGAATTATGATCAAAGTGATAATAAAGATAGATTGAGTAGAATAATTTTCTAGTGTGATGGATAATTGCAAGTCAAATCCCACACTGAAGAACAATCCCTAAATCTGCTGGATAGATCATGTCTAACAGAGGCTGAAGTAGCAGCAGCATTGAGGGATGACTGTAGTTTCTGCAAAGGCCACCAAGGCATGTGCAGTTGGCATTCAAATAGATATTAGCAGCAATCACTGTTTCAATAAGAAGCATAACATCTGCAAAAAGGAATAAAAAATGCATCACTGAATTACTTTTTAAGACAAATATACTTCCACCATAGGCAAATAAATTCTTTTCTTTTCTTTTTTTTTTTTTTGAAGTACCAAGGTCCCAACTGCCACCCGTGTGTGTTTGTGTGATGAAATGCTCCAATTAAACACTCCATGAACAATCTTATCTTCACAATCAAGCTGCCTTCTGCTTAGGGAATTCCCTCTCACTATGCCCTCTGTTCTTCCTTTTTCATAACCATCCCAACCTCTGTGATTTCTCATCCTATGAACACATAGAGATATTTGAGAATATAAAATATAAAGTTGACTACACCTCTTCTTTCCAACTAACTTGCTCTTATATTTCCTGCTTTCCTCCATAGTAACAAACAGGTGTTTTATACATGCAAGGTTTAATCCATAGCTATCTTTTTTTAAATTTTTAATGTTTTATTTATTTTTGAGAGAGAGAAAGAGACAGAGTGTGAGTGGGGGAGGAGCAGAGAGAGGGGGAGACACAGAATCTGAAGCAGGCTCCAGGCTCTGAGCTAGCTGTCAGCACAGAGCCCAATGTGTGGCTCGAACTCACAAACAGCGAGATCATGACCTGAGTCAAAGGCAGACATTTAACCAACTGAGCCACCCAGGCACCCCTGTCCATCTTTCTAACACGTCAATGTTAGACTGGTTCCCTGTAAGAAGTTCCACCTAACAAAAATAACCACTCAAATTCTTTTCTGGATACAATGCTTTAAAGTTCGGAGATTTAGATACTGTAAAATGTAAGGATTCTGAAAATCCTTCCCTGTCCATACTCACACACTAAAAACACATAATGAAGCAGGGACTGTACAGTATGGATGCTGAGAAAACTGAAAACAAAGTAGACATGGCTACTGTCCACATGAGGCAATGTCACGCATCCGCCACCCCAGTATTAGGCATCTGAGGCACCGAACTGTATTCTCACATTCAATGAGACAGAAAGTGCTGTTACAAGTGGCATCAGGAGCCCAGCTGTAATCGCCCAGCCCCATTCTCTCCAGCCTCCAGGTAGGTCCTCCCTGGCGAGGGCTTCATTTTGTATTATTTTAAGATGGATGAAAAACTCAACAACTGCATTTCCGTACCTCATTTAATGACATAAAAATGCATGTGAAAGCATTCTGTAATCCGTAAAGAAAACTACAGAGATTCTGCTGTTGTTACTCTTGCTGTTCATTACTAAGCCTGAGTGCAGGGGGCAGGCAGAGGCAGATGATCCCTTCAGGTCCTTCAAACAGACTTTGTTACATCAATTCCAAGTCATTATGTATATAATATCACTTCATCAGTGTGTTTTTATTGTTAATATTTTACAGACAAGGGTACATCATTGAATAGTAAACATGGAAAGAAAATATGGATAGAGCAGCCACCAAAACACATTCAATTTAGCATCATTTTCAGGAAGCTGAGGATAAAGAGGTGAAGAGGACACCAAGAAGGGATGGTAGATATCAAATCAAAAGCCACTACAGGCCAGAAGAGATAGCATTAGTCAGTGAGGCCGACTATATATAAAATAAGCAATACCAACAATAACCTTGATAGAAAGGGATTCTGCTTACATATCAAATAAATCATTTTTAGTTGTTTCCCCCTAAATATATCATGTTATATAATCCTGTATGTCTCTCTTGGTGATATTTTTAAACTATACTCTAAACTATACTTTTTTTTTTTAAAAGATAACTGTGATAATAAAGGTTAACTGACATTTGGGAACTGTTTGGGGGCATCAGAGAGTGGTGGGGTCTGAGGCAAATTAGAATGCACATGCCAGGAATAATGCCAGGTGTTTCTTAGCTCCATAAATGCTTATCCAAATACTGAGACTCTTAACACTGCCCATACTAAAAACTATGTATATAGAAGGACATATTGTTAAATAAGCTTCTCTTTTGCTTTATCTACCCCTGGTATTAACAATTCATAACAGATAGATTATAGTTTTATAATTAATTAAAGCTTAGAGGATTAAAGTATAGGTACCCATACTCTGGGGGTGAGGGTCAGAAAATAACTTTAAGGACCTGGGCTTTTTCAGCTCTTGCACAAAATTTTAAATACCTGTTTAAATTTTTTAAAGAACAGGGACAGTAGGGATTTTTTATACCATTTCTCATCAGTGTGTGAAAGGTCTGCATAAATTTGGGTATATCCATAGACCCTGAGAATTAAGATTAATATACCAAAGATATGATCCAGGGACCGAACATGAAATAGGAAGGAGAATTCAAGGCCAAGTGTTATTTTTCTTTAATGACCAAAAAAAAAAAAAGATCATTGAACAAAAATAAAAGAGATGTATGAGAACTAGGAAAAAATAGTAACTTAGGAGCCATTAGAGTTTTAATAATGACTAAGTGTTCAACAAGGTCAAATGAAAGCATAGATTTTGTCTGAAAGTGGATTCAAGAGAGGTCAGGGAACTTAGTGATTCAGATATTCTGAGTATCCTTAGGACTGCCATTTCAGTGGTGTGGAGCAGGCAACAATGGGTATGATTAAAACTACCCAGGAAGTTAAGTGGAGGCAGCAAGTTTAGACTGTATTTTTTTAAAGTTTATGGGTGATGGGTAGCCAGTGGAGAGATGATGAAGATATGAAAGGTAGAGAAGAAAATACCAAAGAAATTATGTTTCATTCATTCATTCATTCATGTATTTATTTTCTTCTTTCAACCAATATTTGTTGGATTCTTGGTATTCCTCACTGATTGTATTAGACATTAATGATACAAAAATATAAACTCTGGTCTCAGACCTATGAAAATCCTGGCATGTTATGTACTACAAGAAATGTAGTATTTAAAATACAGAGAGGGAGAAAGACTATCATGAATGATATCTACTCCATCACATTAATGAAATAACATAAAGATATTTGTCAGGCAAGTTTTACAGCAGATCCTTAAACTCTCTACTGGCAGGAGCCCTTGGAAGGGAAGATTTTATCCCTAAAACTAAGTAACGCCTAATAACCCAAGGTGTAGACCTACTGGAAATAGTGTATGTGCTTCCTGATCATTTTTGAGATGTCTCCAGAAAACTACTTAATTATCCTCACGTCTAACTGAGGAACAGGCTGGAAAGCATATATGAGATTGCAATTGTTAATTAATAGGATAAAATGAGGGAATGCTATCTGTTCTTCACTAATAAAGTCTCATGTTGTTATTTCAATATTAGAGAAGAACCCTATAAAAGGAACCTTGAAAGATGCCCATATAATGACCCTAAGGAAGAGTTTCCAGAATTAGGAATATCTGTGGTTATCAACAGGTATATACAATATACGTGAACTAAAACATGTAAGAAGAGAAACAGTGAGCTTCAGACAGAAGTTAGGTGAATGTGAGCTAGAGCAGCATTTTTTTTGGGGGGGGGTGCAGAATTCTAAATTAACGCCTTTCTTGTTGATATCCAAATGATTACTCTTTACTAAATGTAGGTCTTCTTTCTGGCTCAGTGGGTACACTGGGGCTTTTCTTCTGAAGTTATCTTACCGAAAAAGAACTTTTTTCTATAGCTACAATAACATACAGCTACGCTGGACTGGCAGAAGAAACAGGAAGATATGAAAATCCTGAGGCACCTGCTAGTTAGTGTCTGTACTCTTCCTTCAAATTCAGGATAAAACACTACCACCCTGTGACACCTTTCCCAACTCTTTGAAGCAGAGTTAAAAGGGAAGTTTTGTTGCAACCTGTCCAATTGTGAATCAAGAGTTATCCCTAGAGAACATCTTTCCAAAGAGACCATTCTTAAGGGGAAAGAGAAATAACTGAAGTGATTCCAGGGGACAGTGGTGGTGGAGAGGGTGCATGATGGGGAAGCATGATATACTGAAAAATCCTTAAATAGCTAAGAAAGGAAGGGAATGCCCATCATTGTAGATGGTGACACATTCCTAACCACTCTGAAATATCAAACTCTTATATGCCTGGTCTGTATTTACTTCTCCATCAAGAGTCTCCCTGGTAACAGAAGTAAACTGAAGATATAACTACTGTTCCCTGGAGAATTCTGGGGTTAGATCCCAACTTTGCACCTGAATATTTCCTATGGAGTCTTTAGGCTTTACTTGAGATTTTCATGTGAGGCTACTCTTTGTCTTCCCACAAAGAGACTGATTAGGCCATAATTTCTTTCTCTTTGGACAGACAAAAGATGAGGTTTGAATGTGAGCTCCAGCTGTGTAACTACTAATGATGTTTAGATGCCCATGTCTAAAATGAGGACGACATCTGGCCCACTGTCTACCTCATAGTGATGTAAGGCTAATAAAAGATCTTGCTAAAATCTGTATATGACCTTTAGAAAAGGAACATGATTACAATTATGGGACAAACTTGGTTTTACTCAAAGGCTACACTGATGAAAAGAAAGCTGTCTAACCCTTTCTCCAGACAGCAGCAGAGTGACTGAATCCCTCCTGCAAAGCTGTTAAGATATGAACAAACAGCATTAGGGGACAAGAGGTCAATAGCTGGAGGCTGAGATATTTCTCGGCAGGCACTCGAGGAGAAGCCACTTGCACAATGCCATACGGCTCCCTCATACCCCTGCCACTGGCTGCAGGGGCAGTGTCCCAGGGCATAGGGTGGGGGCACACACTAGGGGATGGACAGGCCCCTCTTCTGGTGGCAACAACTGGATCTGGTCCAAGAAAATGTAGCCTCATAAAAGAGGACTTTCTTTTTTTCTTTTTTAGAAAACTGAATACTGTGGAAAAGATTTATTAGTCAGTACAAGTTGGTTATGATCAACTACTGCCTACTCATTACAGTAGCCAGAGACCTATGGCTTTAATAACAGTGAGCACTGTGTTACTGAGGAAGACAATTGCAGTAAAAATTTTCTTTCATGCCCTGCTCTGTGTGCTTAGAAATTACTGACTCAGTTTTATTTCTGCACTTTAGAGCTTTGGATACAATTGCAGGAACACCTCCCCAAATCCATGAACATCCTGTATTCATAGCAATTCAGATACCATAACTTTCCTGCTAAATTAACTGCCTGGAGTAGGTTTCAAAATCAAAGGAATTCTCTAACATCCAGGCAGACATGTAGTTTTCTTTTCTACTACAAAGGCAAATCCTATGAATGCAAGAAATCTACAAAAGCCTTGGATTCATGTTTATTACATCCTAGAGTCTGAAGTAGTTTAAGAATCACTTAAATATCTACCTTCCAGTTAAAGGATCCCCAGGAGAGCAAAACAGTGATTTCTAAAAAGCGTTAACAAAGAAAGTGGAAAAAACGAACTGGAATAAGAGCTTTCTTTTCAACATTTCCACATACCATGATTTCTCATTTTAGGGTGAATCATCTTAATATGATAAAATGAATCATTACATTTAATATCTTGAAAGGGGCAGAAGTATGATTATAGCTTCAGATTTTAAGGAAACTGTCAGAGAAAGTTTCCAATGTTATTTATAGTATTCATAACAGAGTTTATAATGAAACAAGAAGCTATAGCAGTACTTACAAAAGCAAACAAATTTGGGATTAAAACAATGAGTCATTTCCCTTATTGACTTACTTTAACATAGGTTGAGCCCCATACATTTCAAATATTCTATGCAGATTTTCCTTGCATTCTTATAATAGTTATACTACGTATAATTAGTGAACATAAATAACTTTAGGGAATACTGCTCTTTCAGACTGCTCCTACTCCGTTATTATACAAAGTAATAAAGAAAACCATGGGCATGAATAATTGAGAGTGGACATCTATCTCTGGCCAGGGATCACTCCCAGTGCTGGCTTTGGATGCCAGCTCAGTTTAAGTCCCTCATAGACCCTAATTATTCTTATTACTGGGAGCCTCACCCCAATATCTCTGCACAAATAATAAAACATAGCAATACACCATAGAAGCTAGAACTTTTTCTGGAAGAAAAGTTATAATTTTGCTTTTAAAATTATTTGGCAAGAAGCCCCATGTTTAGTTTATGGTTGGCTATTATTTCTCAGCAGTCACTGTACATACTCGGAAATTATGCCAAGTAAGAAAATAAGACCTAAAAATTGTTTGCAAATGAAATGAAAAAATTATGAAGATTAAATTGACAATGAAGTTGTTAGGATGTTAAATTTCAAAGATATTTAATGAAATATGTATTAATTTTTTTCTGTTTTTCAAATTTGAGGGTCAATATATTTTTTAAAAATTTAGAATCTCAGGGGCATCTGGGTAGGTTCAGTCGGTTAAGTCTTACTTCAGCTCAAGTCATGATCTCAAGGTTTGTGAGGTCAAGCCCCACATCGGTCTCTGTGCTGACAGCTCAGAGACTGGAGCCTGCTTCAGATTCTGTGTCTCCCTGTCTCTTTGTCTCACCCCTGCTCACACTCTGTCTCTCTCAAAAATAAATAAACATTTAAAAATAAATAAAATAAAATAATATTTAGAGATATTTTGTGGACCCTTCTCACCATGTATAATCCCTTTTACAGGTCACCTAGTTTTTCTGGGGGCCCATGTAGCTAATCTCTGGAAAGAAGCCTGCTTTCAGATCATAGACCTTCTCTAGAATGTAGTCTACATGAAAAGAATTTTATCTCCCAAATTACACGCTACTTTTTTCAAACAAAAAAAAACTTTCATTAAGTCAAAAAATCTGTGCTTTTTTTTCTCTTCCTTAATTCAACTAAACATATTTTTATTATGAGCTCTTAAAAAGCATTCATTGGCTATTTCACATTCTGGATGAATAATGTATCCCCTCAAAACACACAGAACAGCTTTAAAATGACACACACAAATCTTATGGGTAGATGTTAAATATGAAACATTCTATTCATACTGCGGGTAGCCATTTAGATGCACGAATAATTCTGAGGTTGATAGGTTAGGATAGAATGGCCTCTAGAAATGTGAGTTTCAGAAGGAAATCCTTGCTTTCACAGATAAAAAGAAGTTCCTAAAATCAGATTTCAAGAACCAGTCTTTAAGAAAAAAGAGATCTTGGTGGGAGCTTCTTTTCTTACTTTAACCTTTTGAATACAATAATATAAATATAATTTTTTCAAACCTCTAGTTTCACTATTAAGGGAGGGATCAAAGTCCGCCGCATGTCGTAATATACTATATCTTCAAACCATTCACATAGAAATTTCAGAATCCAGATCAGTGTAATAAAATTCCCTGTTCAGGAGTGCAGAGGGAAGAAAATGATTCTGAATTGGTAACAATTTAAACCATAGAATGACTAAAGGCAATTGTTGTTTTACTTTTAAGTACTTGAAGTAACACTAATGGCTTCAAGAAAAAATATAGTTTATGTGGGCTATTGCTACATTTTATTATTTTTTAATGCGAGTAGGGGAAAGCCACCAATAATTAGAATGACAGAACACACGAGGGTGTATAACTGCTGGCATCAAATGCTACCTCTAGGATCTTACATGAGTTGCTTTATGAAATAGATGACTCACATAGAGTTAGGAGGTTATACAAAAACGTATGCTGCTAGAGTGCTTTTAAAGGCTCTCAAAAACCATGCACTTTCCTAAGTAAGCTAAACATCCACCCACGACTTGTTCAGATTGTTAATTCCTTAAATCCCATCCCCCATCTCTACCATCCTCCTAACCCCCCCCCCCCCCCCCCAAGAGGTCAGATTTCAACCAGCTATTCAACCTGAATATAGATTCTGGCCCAGAAAAAATATAACTATAAATGGTATACTCGGTATTTTATTTTTCCATCTTGCCAACAAAATGTATTAAAATTTAAACTTGAAAAAAAGTAATACAGTGTTTACTGATAACAGGAGAATCTGAGAATTGTTATCATCAAGTGTACCTCCTCTGTTATTATCCCAACCTGAAGAAATACGTTCTTTTTAAAGTTACTGTTTTTATTTAATTTTCCCAGAATTGTAAATTTTAAAAATTTTTTTGTGTTTTATTTATTTCTGAGAGAGAGAGAGAGAGAGAGAGAGAGAGAGAGAGAGAGAGACATTATGAACAGAGAGGGAGATACAGAATCTGAAACAGGTTCCAGGCTCTGAGCTAGCTGTCAGCACAGAGCCCAATGCAGGGCTAGAACCCACAAACTATGAGATCATGACCTAAGCCAAAGTCAGACGCTTAACCGACTGAGCCACCAGGCGCCCCTGTAAAATTTTTTTAACCTGAGAAAAACAATTATTTTCTCTACCTCCCTCCATGTCATTGCAAATGACAAGATCTCATACTGTTTTATTGCTGAGTAATACTCCATTGTATAAATATATCCTATCTTCCTTTTTTTTTTTCCCCTCTTCTTCTCAGATTTAGGGTTTAGGTTCAGGGTAGGGACCAGGTAAGGGTATGTATTTGGTATCCTGCAGCTCAGGACCTCACCTGAGACAGACAATTTCATATCAATCTGAGGATGTCAAGTCCTAAGAATTCTTCTAAATAAATGAGAAAACAAACCCTTTTCAAGGCTTGGCATACAATATTCTTTATAAAGGTTCATTCTGCCAAATTCTACTACTTAAACCGTATTAGCAAAGATGCCAATATCATGTTAATCAGAGGCACTCCAGCAACCTATATCAATCATTACAATGTCACTTCTTGTGTGTCCCTCAACTTAGTCTACTTGCATTTCAGCTTCCACTGTCATAACAATTTCAAAGCATGGATTTAATCAAAGCAATGTTTAATATGTTCACTTCAAATTTTGACAGTTTTGCTTACCAAATGGACAAGGATGAAAGTTATTAGCAAGGAATTGTGGTACTTGCTAAATCAGGGATTTTATATTAGCTACTATTTGACCTAGCGATTACACTTTTAGAAATCTTTTCAATTCTATAGTAATTATCAGAAAAGGAGAAAAGACCACACAAAAAATGATGTTCAATACAGCATTATTTATAATCATAAATATTCAAAAAAGACTAAGAGGTCTAGCATGGGTATAAACGTTTTTGAGAGGCAGAGTAGAAGTTCAAAATATGCGTGAAACAGGATTAAGGAAAAATGGCAACACAGAAGAGTAAGCTGAAGTGTTTCAACAATCTAAAATGTTAGTCAAAAAGTAAAAAGTCATATCTATTATGAAATAAAATTAATGTTGTGTCATTAAAGGGTGGGAGTATAGAGACTTTATTTACTTCTTTATATATTTGGTATTTAAGTTAAATATACCACCTACACATTACTTGATACTCAAAAATTATTTAAAATGCAAGACCTATCTTTTTAAAAATTTTATCTAAATTTGTTCTACCTTATGGGCCTTCCATGCTTCAATTACAAGAGTTGGCACTGTGAACTCTCACCCAATGCACAAGCTTACTTTCCAACCCCCTCTTTAGTATGTCACTGCAACCATTCTAGTTTTTTAAGTTTATTTATTTATTTTTGGGAGAGGGCAGGGGGTGGGGGGAGAGAGAGAAAGAGAGAGAATCCCAAGCAGTCTCTTCACTGTCAACACAGAGCCTGACACAGGGTTCAAACTCATGAACTGCCAGATCATGACCTGAGTCGAAACCAGGAGTCAGATGCTTAACCTACTGACCCACCCAGGTGCCCCTCCACTTTTTTCTTCATATTATATACCAATATTTGCTCTTTTAAATAGTTGCATTGCAAATTTTTCTTACTTTACCACAATATTTCCTAAACATCGAGCCTTCAGTTTTTGCATGTTGTCATCCAAAATCATAACTGCAAAGTAAAATGTAAACAAATAATAAATTTGAATAAAAATGCATAACCTTAAGGCTTAAACATTTCCATATTTTCTATACTCAACCCTCAAAACTGTACCTTAAAAAGGTATCTTTTAATTCGTATGAGACCAGGAACATATATAACTATGCTAACCTGTCTCACCAAAAATTAAAACAGCGTATCTTCGGATACCTAACAAGATTATAAATTTTCCTTCAGAACCTCCATTAAATAGACATTGTATTTCAAACATGCTGTTAATTTCATAATCTATGTCTATATCCGCTTCAATATATCCTTCTATCAAAAACATTAAAAATATATCCAGTTTTTCAAAAAATAAAGGAAACAAATGAAGTTCAAAAATACACCAAAAAATATCTCAAGTAATAAAAATAAAGTACTTAAAAGCCTGGAAAACCCCTTTTTTTCTGATTTGAGGTTTAATATCCACTTATGAGCCTTAAAGTTCCATTTAACCTTCCCAAATATTATACCAATGCTTTCTGTGCTAAGCTGTTACAATCCTGAAAGATTTTAGGAAGTCAATGCTGTATCCCCATTCAGCAACTGCTAGTGCAAACTGGAAATGAAGGTATATCATCATGTTTTAAGCTCTAATTTGTCCTGTATGCAGCTTCATCCATCCAGGTTATTCTACTGGATGGATGAGAGAAGGACATTGTCCCCAGAAAAATATTAATCATCCCTTCATTGTGTTCCCAGAGTACTTTGTTTTAAAATTCTATTCTAACAATTAGTAGTGGTGTAAATATCCCTCTCGTAAGATTGTGAGGCCATTAAGGGTGGAGGTCATGCCTAACTGTCCCCAAATCCCAATTTACTCTCTGCCCCTGAACGAGTATTACCCCTTTGATTTCTCTATATAAAAAGTGGGAGTAATTCTTTTCTCATAGTTTGTTACTAGAATTATTTGGAAAAAAAAAAAAGTGACAAGTTTGTGGAGGGTACTCAATGAATGTGAAATTGTCATACTACATTGGATATTTTTCACATAAAAAATGGTTTTCTTTCCTTTCCCAAGTGGATACCGCTTATGCTTCTGAATCTCTGACTAACCACAAAACACAAAAATTATGAGTCATCAAGCCATTATTTCCTTGGTTATAAATACTTCAGTTCTAACATTTAACCCATGCTGCCTGTTGGCTTACAGGCAACAAGAAACTTCTGTACGGAAATTTCATGAGGTATCAAAGCTCAACTCCTTCTTATAGCTGGATATAAAAATGATACTGAAATACTGAAAGGGAAATGTATTTAACATCTCCCATAAACATTACCCCTAAAAATGGCTCAACACAAAGAATTTTTTTTCCAATAAAAAGAACAGGGATGACAGAACTGTTCAAAGTGAGGATTTCACTAAAGCTGGGTTCACCTTCTCATGCCTGGAAAAGTCACTGACTTTACAGAATATCTATTTCTGTTCTAAAAAAAACTTAAGTGTCTTTTTATAAATACATCTGCTAGACTAAACCAAATGATCCACGTTTCCTTAACTAATCATTGTCCTAGAAAGAAAATGCATGTTATTGTAGCATGTTATGTTAGAGAAGCAAGGACACGTCTCTATATTTTATAATTTACATGCAAATAGAAACTATATGCAAGAACCAGATTCTGTCACCCAAAGATGGGTCCTCATGAATCTATTAAGCTAAACTGCGTGACCTTATGCAAATAAAATAACTTCTGTTCTTCATTTTCTTGTCTGTCAAATGAATAAGTAAGTCTAAATTGAGTCACCCCTTCTGGCATCTCTGAAATATCAGCACACTACTAGCTGAGACTTAGTTTAGTCTGTTTACTGGCAAGAGCTTGCATTAATGCTTCGCCGTGTTACATCACAACACAGTGACCCTACAAAGCATGTGGTAGCACTATTCGCGTTTAGAAACAAGGAAATCGAATTTTTGAAAAGTTAGGTGAATTGTTGTGTAAATTATACAACTAGAAAGTAGAGCCCAAGGGAAATTATAATCACTATGAACAATCTAAAAACAAATATTTAAAATATATTGTATCTCATTGTCACAAATCGCAGCATGGATGAAATGATTTTTCTACTTAGAATCTTTAGTCCTTATATTTATCTTTAGCTAACAAGGTTCAGAAGCCTTATCACCACTCCTAAATTGAAAGGTAGCATATATAGTGGAAAAAACTGCAGCTTTTTTAAGAAAAACAAGCAAAGACACAAAGAAAAAAATAAAACACGATGGTTTACGTTGTCTACAGGACCTAACCAGCCATGTTGCCTCAGCAAAGTAATTCAGTCTCTCAGGGCACCAGCTAACTCATCTTTAAAATGGTAATGATACCTCTAAATTAAATATGCTTCATCATTAAATGAAATGATGTATGCAAAGTACTCTACACCTAGCAAGTATTCCATACATATTAATTTCACAGCCAGATTCTTCATGGGCCTTATAAATATTATTTTCTTGGTTATGACAGTCACGTAGCACATGTCCTTGGAAGTTGGCAATCTTATTTCTTATTTTTGGTCAAACTAATAACAAAATTAAGGCATTTATTTTTAGTATAAAGTATTCATTCAGTCAAATGCTTTTACACACCTACTATGCAGTTTCATTCGTATTAGATACAGAAAAAAATACCAAATGTATTAACCTTACATATTTCAAATAATCAGAATCCTTTCTCACCGTTGTATCCCGGAACACTTTTTCCTGCTTGTCCTGGAGGAGGGGTTTTAGAATTACCTAATCCGATGCATGATGCCGTAATTGGAGATCCAGTCTCTGGAGAAATAAATATTATTTATCATTTAATAATTCAAGTTGAAATCATGATGTTTCCTCAGTGTGTGCATTTCTCTCTGCCCACTGCCCAGCCATTTCTCACAGAATTTAACTGCATGAGGAATAGATAAATAGTGCAAATGTATTATTTAAAAATGGAGAAAATATTAGCAATCTATACCAGATAAACATTTTTAAAACTTAAGGATACAAACTGAGAATAACATATATTGTAATGCTTCTTCTAAAGAAAAGAGAGACCTCTCTAATGTCATTGGTTATAAATCAAAAGGCATGAAGAATGGAGAATTGTGTGACTGAGAATTTAAATTTTTCATATTTATTTATTTTTGAGAGACAGAGAGAGACAAAGTGTGAGTCAGGGAGGGGCGGAAAGAGAGGGAGATCCAGAATCTGAGGCAAGCTACAGACTCTGAGCTATCAGCACAGAGCCCAACGTGGGGCTTGAACTCACAAGCCATGAGATCATGACCTGACCTGAAGTAGGATGCTTAACTGACTGAGCTACGCAGGCGCCCCTTGACTGAAAATTTTACAACACATGTTAAACACTAAAAGACCTCTAGAAAAGATGCCTTCTCTTAATTCACCTAGTCATTTTATCATGGTAAATAACAGCTACTTGTGAAATATTTTCTGTTATTTATGGCTTAATCTCTAAAATAAGTAATCCAAAGGATTTGGGGAATATATTAACAATATCAACTCTAATTTTTAAAGAACTACACCTGCTTAGAGACCTTGCAGCTGAACCTGAATTTAACAAAACTTTGTCAAACTTATCTCAACTTGCTGTTTCTGAGCTTCCAAAAGATAAGCAGCCAGGCAGGTAAGAAGGAAGGAAGAAAGGAAGGGAGGTAGGAAGGACATTATTGTATGCTGATGATTGCATCAAGACCAAAGACTTAGCCACAGTTAACCTACATTGATTAACAAAAACAATAGATTAGTTTTCTCGGTCTCAAGTTGTTAATAGTCACAATAATAGCAGCTATCATACAATATCCATAAGTTCTGAAGATGGTTATTTTTATGGACAAATGCATTTGTTATTACCGGTAAACACAAGTTTGGGGTTAACAGAGTCTTTTAAATATGAGATTTGTGTGTGTTGGAGGAGCCAGATAAGAGTATTGACAGTGAAAAATTTTGGCACTACTGGCTTAATATTATACACAGAAACATACACATACATGTCCCCAAGGGATTACCTGCCAAACCAACTGTATCCAGAGTAATCCAAAATATTAAAAAACATCTATCTTCCTATGGACTCAGAATGTATTCTTTCCACTATAGCTTCCATCATAATTTTTCATACATTTCTATCACTTTAGCATGGTGGGAAGAATTTATTACTGTTCTTTACTTTCCAGAGTAGCTCAGTTTATTATTCACATTTTATGGATGGTGGCTCAGCTGGCATCAATAACGGAAGATGGCCTCTCGAACATTAAAACACAGTTCCTAAGTCACAGTCCAGTGCTTAAGATGCTCAGCCATATGGTCACCACTGAGGAGAAGCAGCAAGTAGCCAGAGCAGACATTTCTGATGTTTAACAAAAAATTCTCAAATACTTTCATACTATGATAAAAAAGCCAGACAGGTATTTTATGAAATGGCATTCCATCCATCACGCAATAGCCCTGTCCTTTCTTCCTAAAACACAAGCGAAGCAGGGAAGGAAGCCCCCTTCTCAGAAAGATTGGTAACATTTCCCCCTTGGCCTTTTTAAAAAGGTCTCGGTACTGCCCTCAGCTGTCCTCCAAAACTGACAGAGACAAGAGCGGTGTGATGACAGGAAGCAACACTGTCGAGTGAGGTGCATAAAGGAAGATACACAGACAAAGCAAGGTGACGACAGGGGCAGAAGCTACTAGGACGCACGAGGAAGGGAGATGTTCCCCCTTCCACCTGGGGGGCGGAGAAGCAGCTGCTAAAGTACATCTTCTATGTTAAAAGTGTGTCTCATCAAGTTTAGTTTATCACTAGAGGCACTCCAATCATTTCAAGTTCAAACTGTCTACATTTCTAAACACCATAAAGCCTCTTCGCAACGTGCAAGAGATGGCTTCAGATCCTACAAATGAACCTCCCGATGGCTTCAGGACCTGCTGTCTGAAAGAGAAGCAAACACGAAACCACAACAAAACTCTAACTGCGCTCTGCTTCATCTCGTCTTCATGTGGACTCGTATGAAAGATGCCAGCACTCTGTTCGTCTTCCTATAACACTGGGAGAGAGAGGGTGTGGATAGGGGAAGCGGGAATAAAACCTAATCTTAACTAAAGACACAAGAATGAGTTAGCGAAGCACGGTCAGAATGTCCTGCCTAAGTAAGTTGACACTACGCATACTTCCTGAGATTCTTAAACATCTGTGTATAGTGATTACATATTTATAATCTTTTCCCCTTCTGCTGTTTTGTTATAATCAATGATTGTAAGATAAATGAACAGAATATCTTTCTATATGATTACTTTGACTCAATTTTAAGGGCAATGAAAAGGATTTTCCATTCGGGTACTTAAAACAGATACTGTAGGTTTATACTTTGAACATTAGTAACTTGAGTATCTTATTGATTTTAGTTTGATATTCATTTGGGGGTTTGGGAAAAGAACTGTTGGCAGTGACATGTAAAAGATAATTCAGATGAGGGGCGCCTGGGTGGCTCAGTCAGTTGGGTGTCCGACTTCAGCTCAGGTCATGATCTCATGGTTCGTGGGTTCAAGCCCCTGTGCTGACAGTTAGCTCAGAGCCTGGAGCCTGTCTTCAGATTCTGTGTCTCCCTCTTTCTCTGACCTTCCCCTGCTCATGCTGTCTCTATCTCTCTCTCAAAAATAAATTTTAAAAAGAAATGAAAAAAAAAAAGATAATTCAGATGAAATGACTTCCTGGGACTCTCCACACAGGGAGCCATAGTTAGGACAAAAGGGGGATGAGAAAGACCATAATGGTTGCTATAGAAACTTTGGTTGTCTCAGGGCACCAGGGTGGCTCAGTTGGTTAAGCATCTGACTTCAGCTCAGGTCATGATCTCACAGTTCATGGGTTCAAGTCCCGCGTCGAGCTCTGTGCTGACATCTCAGAGCCTGGAGCCTGTTTCAGATTCTGTGTCTCCTTCTTTCTCTGCCCCTCCCCCACTCATACTCTGTCTCTCTCTGTGTCAAAAATAAATATATAAAAAAATCTTTTTTTAATTAAAAACAAAAAAGAAACTTTGGTTGTCTCTCCGTATACCTGTAAATGTCCTGAGACCCAAAGAATGTACTGACCCACCTGGAGGGCAAGCACACACTTGTGTGCTCACAGGTTCATGCACACGGACTCTGTCGTCACCCTGCCTCTCAGGCTTGTCCGGGTGTGAAATAGGCCTTTGGTTGAGGAAAGCCCTCAGGCATGCTGGCCCCCCTGAACCAAACTTCTAAGGACTCCCAAATCCCCACTGAGAAGATGTTCTTAAAACATCTGCTTCACACTGCCCAGGCTATAATTAACTGGCTAGCAGTTATCTAGGAAGACAGGAAATCTGGATGTCACACTGAGTCGGAGAAATGGCTGCATTTAAACAAACCAGAACATTCTCTTTGAAGAAAAGAACTGGATGCTTCATTTGGAGAAATCTTTCCAAAGGTACCTAATCTTAGAAAGAGACACCCAGGAAGAAGATGGCAGGGAACTGAAGGTTGTGAAGAAAACGTTATGTTGGTACATTTATATTCATGCTGCATTAACAGCTAATGGAGACACTTCATTTTTTTTTTTTTTTTAGTATCTCTACTGCCTCTCCACCTATTGCATTGGTGAGCTGTTACTTACTTTTCCCTAAAAATTCTGACTCTAAAGAAAAGGAATGAGAACATACATTTTTTTTCAAATATGAATTATGCTGGGTTATGCTAAATGTTTTTTGTTTATGCTATTGCATTTAATCCAACTGCATAGGAAGATAGGAAGAAAAGGGAATATTCTTTTTACAAATGAAAAATATTAAGGACTAACCTAGACAATTGAAACCATGTCTCCTGGTCAGAAAAGGATAAGAATGAAATAGAAAAGTATACCACTTGTGAGGTTCTTAAGTGGAATATGGAGGGCTGAAGAGAAATCACCAGACTGTGTCTCAGAGGAAGAAAAATCCTTGTGACAGATAGTGAGCCCAGTCTCTTATATTCACAAATGGAAGTAACGGTGGGACACTGCACTTATTAGCAAATATTTATCGAGCAGCTATTATGTGTTAGGTTCTATCATTAGAACTGGGGATAGAACAATAAACAAAAGTGACCACAATTCCTATGTCATGGAGCTCACATTCTAGCCAGAAAGACAAACAATAAAAAACATAAATAAAACATATGACATGTTAAGGAGTGATAAGCACTAAGAAAATTTTTGAAAACATGGATGGGGTGTGTGATGTGATGCCGAAGAACTGCGATTTTAGATTGCGTGTGAGAAAAGACCTCCCTGAGAAGGTAACATTTAAGTAAAGGCTTGAAATGAGTGAGGACCTGTGTCACATGACATCTAAGGACAAAGAATCCAGGAAGAAAGAAACACAAGTGCAAAGGTCCTGAGGTAAGCTTTTTCCTAGCGTGCTTGTGGAATGGTTAGTCAGCTAGTATTACTGAAGCAGAAGAAATGAGGAAAGTATTAACAGGGAATACGCTCAGATAGGTAATGAGGAGACAGATCATTTAAAACTACTTAGAAGTTCTTTGTAAGACCTCAAGCTTTAGCTCTGTGTGATGCTGCATTCTGATGAGGCCTTTTGAACAAAAAGTAATGAATCACAACAATGCGAGTAAAATTTATGTAAATATTTGCACAACATTCAGTTCTATGGCCAAGTTTATTTTATTGGGGGTTTTGAGAGAGCTGTATGTGAGAAAATGCATGGACAGACAGAGCCTGTATTAGAATTGTTGGTTCAAACATAGAGATTTCTCTGTTTTTCTGAACATTGGGAACC